CTCCCCGGTCCTGGGGTTTGTCTTCTGTTAAATGCAATACAAACACTAATTAGACTTTTAATCAGTAGATATTTCTGTATAAAACTTACATCTCACTTTTTAGATTCCAACAAATATAGTTCCATATATTCAATTGCTAATATTGTGTAGTGGAAAACAAATATAAATACTACTTAACTCAATCATAGTTAAACAACACAATCACACAGCTTTCTACTTTCACAGGTAATTCATTTTTCGACAGATGAAACTTACATATTCGCGAGGTAGGAGGTACATGGTCCGCTCAATGTTCTTGATGCTAACACAGCAGCTGACATGAGACTTTGCAGACTCAATCCACACTTTTCCAAACAGGTACACCACACCTTTCATTTAAATTCACATATCAGGGTGAGCTCTACAAACCTGCCCATGATTTTTTTAAAAACAGTAAACGTAACCGCATTGTATTTTATCCTCACAGTGGGTGAAAATGGGACCCACCTGGTTGGTTGTATGGGTCTTCGAAAGCATCCAACCAATAAAAGCGGAAAACCTGCTCCCCGTCTGGGCCCTCCACCAGAGGAAGTTGGCTGGAATCGACCTGCACCTCGGCCGGAGCGTCGTTACCTCCGCCCTCCTCCTCTTGTCCCCAAGAGCTTCCAATTCTGCTGGACCTTGACAAGGAACACAGCAAAGAAACTGCTAAAAACCCATCTGCTCATATGTGAACTATTCCAGTTTAAGAACATAATTAGTTCTGTGGGTCATGCTAACTGCACCTGCAATCATCAAAGTGACTGCACAACGCAGTCAATATATAATCAGGCAACACAAGACTCCCACGTTTTTAAAAGCAAGTGTGAACAACTTTAAATGCTGCTCACTTGCTGGGGAATTCATTTTTGACTTCCTGCAAGTTAACAACACAACAAGACGGCTTAGATCTTTATTTTTAATCTGGAGTTACTCAAAGCTACAATCATTCCAGACCTTAATGAGTCCAGCAATGTTTTGTGGGGGATTGACTGCAGGTGTGACACAGAAGAGTGACATGTTTTGTCTTCTTCTTTAATGTATGGAGCCCTGCTGTTTGACCCAGATACATTTGTGAACCACTGAAGTGAACTGAATTGCAGTCATTTTCATAATAGCCCAATGCAATAATCAGCCATCGCATTTAGCTTTTCGAATTCCTTTAGAAACACCGGCATGTGCAGGTAAAACACGGGAGGAACAGATGCCACAGGAGTAAACACCTGTTTAAATGGCATTTAAATTGACTCACATAAGCACAGGGTTAATTTTGCTATATGCATTTTATATTTTCCTTGTCCTTGCTTCGTTTCCTCGGGACTGAAAGACAGCAATTTTAGCACAACCCATAGAACTACAACTATGGGAAATAAAATGAGGCTGAACTAAAGGCATGAAAAACTCACATGAGGACTGGATCCTGAGGTTCACCTTTGGCCTCAACTTTGACTGCAGTCACTGCTGCTACTTCATGTTTAGACTCCGCATCGTCTTTCACTACAGGGGCCTCCTCCTCAAGGCCAACCTCCATCGGTTCATCAAAGTCCATCTCATCAAATGCCATGGCATCATTCACTGAGGAACATGTTAAAATGTAAAGTTAGTGCATAAACTTTTCACAAAGCAAAAAAAAAAAAAAAAAAAAAGGCAAGAGATTAGAAACTATCTTCATTACCTTCTTCTTCGTTCTTGTCTTCTTCATTCAGCTCTTCCACTTTTACCTTCTGCTTTGCCACAAGAGAAGCAGATGTGGACGAAGGAGGACGGACTGATGACCTGGGGGCAGAGTGTGATGGTGGCGTTCGAATCACTTTTGCCTTTACCCCAGCAGCTAAGGGTGAGTCCTGCTATCAAAGGGATGATGATTCGTTATAATTTCAGGTAAGCCACTTTATAAACATGTCTAAAGAGCTAATCAATATGCTTTGATTAGGAGGGTGGAGTGAGTTACCTTTGGCAACTGAGGTTTGATAGAGAAGGGATTCATGGGTGATCCCACAGATTTCTTTTTCTTTAGAGTCACCACAGGTGGCGGGGTCAGAAGAGCTGGTTTCTGGAAAGACGGAGCATATTTTAAAGCCATATTAACAAAGGCTAAGACACCAAAAGAAAGAAATTACAGCCTTTAAAAGAAAAAAAAAGTAGAAGGGAATATGTCATCATGCCCAAACAGGAGAAAAGTAAAAAAATGGTGAGAAAAGAAACATAATAAAACATTGCAGATTTTAGAATAGTATGTGTAATCACAAGTGTGGTTAATAGATGAAAACGCCTTGCTACAGACTACTGTCACATGTTTAAATGAAGAATTACCAACCTCAGAGTGCAGGTCCTGTAAGATATCCCCTAACAGGTCATCTTTGGACAGATCCACATCTTTCTGTAAGAGACAAAAGTACAAAAACATCTGACAAATGCATAACGACTAAAAATAAAAATAAAAAATAAAAATAAAAAAGCTGGATGTTGTTAAGCTTTACATTGACTGGAATATCCAAAGCACCATGCAGGCACAGAAATCATTACATGTAGACTGCACGGGGCATTTTTCACAGAAGCAAATCAAAGATGCTAACAAACACATACCTCAGCAGGCCTCTTGACGTTGCTGTTCATGAATAGGCTCTTAATGCTGTTGGGTTTGGCTACGACAGATTTCTTCACATTCTTCCTTGAGTCAGCTCCTTTGGCGCCTCCTTTTCCTGATAAAACAAACAAAACCTATTCATGCACCTGATCTGGACAACTTACTCCAGAAAATGTAATCAACTCCTTGTGTTTACCCCTTTTGTCTTCCACTACATCATCATCCAAATCATCGTCAAAGATTTCTCGTCCATCCTCCACGTATCCTGTTCCATCTGGCAAAAAAAGAAAAAGAAAAAAAAAAAGGAGAGGTAATAAAACAATTGTGACGTTGGCACAGTATAAATATTCCTACGGCAGGCTGAGGTAACTGACACTAACCATCATCAATAATCCAGTCATCCTCTTGCCTCTCTCGTACCATCTTTGAGTACTCATCCTCGTCCACCTCCTCATACACACTGCTGAACTCCTTCACCTGAAAAACACAACACTGGTTAAAACACAGGTGTACTACTGTGAAATGACACCTGCATACAGCATCCTAGGATAGAGAAAAGCATGAATCATTTTAATGAGTGAAAAACAGATGCTGTAAAAGGAAGTATGGAGAGACTTAACCAGCTTTGTTTATTAAGCCACAGTGACGCAGTTAAAACAGGTGTTTGATGCAATTTAACACATTCTTCACACACCTTAAACCAGGAACCAGTGATATGGCTGCCTTTCATACCTCATACTTGATCTTCTCTCCCATCTTAGCCTTTTTGAGCTGTTCCAGTGCGGACTTCCTCCCCACCTTCTCCCGTTTCTCCCGTCTGGAGCGAGTCTTCGCCAAACCACAGGCTTCACTTCCATCGTCTGAGGAGAGGGTCAAGACAACGCAGTATGAGGAAGGGCCATTTGACTCGTTTCTTCAAACATATAATACACACATGCCAGATCGACCTGACCCCTGTGTTTCTTTTATCATTCAATTTAAACGTCTGCAGACTTACTGGTGGTCATTATATAGATTTTTGTCGTTCTCGAAGCGCCACAGAAGTTAACAGACCTTTGCATCAACGCTCTTCTGGTAGCTACCTTCATGTCCTCCTGCTTGAACCTTAATAATACTCCTTTTACAGTGGAAAACGCTGGCAAGCAGACAACGGTGGGCACTTTGGGTGTTAATGAGCGAAGCCTGATAGCAGGCGTATTAACATAATCTGAACTAGCTAACGTGTCAGCTAGCTTCTTCGCTTTGCCACCGCAATGTCGCCAAAAGTCAACAAAAACAGAAGTGCGAGGTCCAAAACTCACCGCCGTCCGGAGCGTCCATGTCTTTCTCAGGGTTTGACACTGGAGCCATGGGGAGAAGTGGGGGTTTTGTCTTATTTATTCGTACGGTTATGGCAGGTCAACACAACAACAGAACAGCTCGCGCCAAATCGTCTTCCCGGGGAAAGTCATATGTCGGAAGTGACGACAGAGCGCCCAACCAATAAACTGGCACGCTATCTCACCTCTGTCCGCAAGGTGGCAGTGTTGTACAATCCCTACGGGCTGCGCCCTATCTTCTCCCCTTTTTACCTGATTACATTTATCTGGCAGGTAAGTGTGTGTGATTACTGAGGTCTGGCGCGATGTGGCAAACAGAGCATGCGCTGAAAATATATTCACAATTTCGACCGTTTTCAGAATTTACACAGAAACCACGTTTATGTAACTTAAAGAAGTTTAAAATGCAAATCAGAGAAAGTTTCTGAGCAAAAAATTTGTCAAAAGTGGTCTCAAAAAGTCAATTTATATGATATTAGCCTAAATATTGTATGAGGTTCAAACGAGTTTATAGTGACTTTTTATTTCTTTTTATTTAATAAAATTGCATCGCAATTTGACTAAAAGAAACAAAACAAGAACAATATAAATTTATAAAACAAAAAACTTTTAAACCATTCTATAAATCTGGGGATTTTTAGAACTGGGGCCATTATTTTGCCCTGTTTTTCAAAGCCTGGCTACCCCAGTGAAGCTGGTTTCCACAGCAACCAAACCGGTCCATGGAGAGGACAATAGATTCCTGTCCCAGATTGGGGCCACAGAGACACAGTGCGTCCAATAATGAGAACACAAAGCGTGTTTTGTCCTTCATTCACACAGCTTATTTTGGCTTTCTATACATTAAAAGACAGTGATTACTCCGCCAGGTTCCGGAGGACTGCACAGTACACTCCAGGTTAGAAACGCTCTTTGTAGTATTCATCTTATTTTTGTCTTTACAACATTACGCTTTTTCCACTTGTTCTCATTAGGGTAAGAAGTTGCAGATTGCATGAATTAGGCCGTTTGCTGAGGTACAAATCTGAGGAAGTCTACCGTAAGCTCTGCTATATCGACTATGGCCCACAGTTGTCGCTGCTCATCAGCGCTGAGCAGCTGATGCGTCCTTTGGTCAGAGTAGACAAACAGCTTGCTGTTGCTCTGCTGCACTTTTGCCGCTGCGCAGCTCACTCACTTTATAAAGAGCAAAGCAGAGAAAAAGTGAGTCTGATTGTGATATTTTGTTTGTTCCGCCATGGTGAAACAACGACGCGTCAGAGCGCATTCCTCTTGCGCACCTGTCGCGCCTTTTTGTCGCAGAAGAGGATCTCTAAAGGTAAGACATCCCTATATAGACATTAAAATAATTGTTCCTTTATGCGCAATTTATATGCCTATTCCATTTGTTGACTTTTTTTCTTCTTCTTTTTGGTGAGGATTTGCGGGGGTAAGTTTTGCCCGTTAGCTTGGAGGGTAAACTTTTGTGAGTGGTCGGAATCTAACCCTAAAGAAAATGCTCCAAATATTAAAATACGACGGTCATATTACAGTCAAATGCACTGCTGTACTTTATAGGTGCTTGGTCTACCTTAAGTTATGCAATGAGGGATACTAAACTAGTCAGCACAGTTTTTTTTAGCTTCTTCTTTCCCACAATCGTGTTTGTTTACAAATCTCACACAAAGATAAGCACATACACTAGACACGTGAAAACCCACATACATCCATTTAAATCAGTGTTTGGCGGATAACGGTGCCACTCAGTGCCATTTTTCACTGATGGCCTGCTCAACCAATCCTCACCGGGTATACTGGCGGTCCTCTCTCATTGGCTACCTCATGGAGCTCTCTCTCCTCTTTTCCGTCGCCATGGAGAAAGCTCCTCAGCGCGCAGAGATCGTTTACGCAGACACAGATTCACTCGCGGCTCGTGAAAAGATGCCAGTGTGATCTCTTAATTCATCTCCTCACTGTTTTGGGTTGAATCTGTGCTCATTTGTTAGTACACAGTAATAAACAGACAGGTCGTGCCAAATATGTTTTCCCATGTGAGGATTTCAACATAGAGTCAAGCAATCAAAAGAAGAGTGCTCTGGTGTTTCCCCGTATACCCTAAAGGGGCACCCCTGAGCAGACAGGGTTAAAAGCCTTTTAACTCGGAGAAGTGTTTTATGTTAAAGCTTTAATATGGCGCAAGACTAACGGGAATATAACTGCGTTTTAACAGACGGCGCTTGGCGCTTTTTAAATTGCTATTAAAACGCGGAAGGCAGATTTTTTTATTCCAAAAAATAGTCAGAGTGAGGCCTCTGCCATGAGTCTGCGTCTCTGCAGCAGAGAGGATCAGATGAGGAGGAGAGGACAGACAGAGAGGCAGAGCGGAGAGTGGGCGGGGGAACAGAGGAAGGAGACAGAGTGGTGAGGAGAGGCATCGTTTCACTGATGCTGAGTCACATATCAGAGGGACCACAGCTGCATCCCATGAGTCTTTGGGAATAATGGAGGAGCTTGAACACACCTGCCCTCATCCCCGAACGGTAGGGCATCCGCGCCTGTGTGCGTTTTCTCGTCTTCCATTGCGCACAGAGTGTGTGTGACAGAGAGGGAGACAAAGGGTCCTGTTATGAAACAGATCCCCTCAGCATGTGGCTGTGGGATATGCTTAGAGTGCTGAGTGGACAGTGTGTGTGTGGGTGTTAATGAGTGTGTTGCCAAAGGAGGGAAGGGGTCCGTACGGTAGCCAACATAGCATGAACGTCCTGCTGAGGGCGAAAATGCTGCAGCGAGGATTACAGAGCCTCCTATTTTAGGATACTCTTTCTTATCTCTTCTATCTTTTTGATGATTGCTCACCCTGGTGTGATTTCTGGCTTTAATGCTCCTAAAAACTCTCCATTTTGCCTTTTCCTCACCTCTGTCTCCACTCCATCAAGCCATTTTTTCTTCTTGAGAGCCAATCTCATTGTTAGTCTCATGTCCCATGTCCCTGTGGCTCTCTCTTTCCCCCCAGCCTTAATCCTTCTTATGCCAGATGTTCTTTGCTTGTGCCAGAGTGGGCATTACTGAGCGCCTGCTCTGATAGGTCAGGTGCCTGTACCTCTGGTCACTTGGTTTTCAGTCTTTACCATCTGCTGTGTTCAGATGGTGGAGCTCTGTTCTTCCTGGGCCATAGGTGAATCACAGGTGATGAGGTTGCTCCTCCAGTTCTGTTGCAGCCCTGATTTAACTCTAATGTCCTTGAATTGGAAATTGGTGGGTCAGTTTATGACAGGTAGGATTGTTTAACATGACGAACAGCAAAATGTTCATTAGGGTAAGATTGTGCATGCAGGTTGGTCCTCTTTTGCTTTATCTTAAAAAAAATTGCATTAAGGTTAAACCTTTTAAACTTAATGCTTTCTGGATCATAGTGCATATTAGGAGTTATGCATGTATTCACTTTTAAGCTCTAATAAACACTTTTAACCAACACCTCCTGGCTGTAGTGTCGTCTGTAAGTGCAGTGGAATGAGGAAGTATAGGAAAGCATTTAAAGGAAGAGGTTAGCAAAGCAAAAGTTAGATTGTCAGATTGATGAAGACAGTAGGCAGGACTACTGGGAGGCTATGTGTAGATAATAGAAGAGGCAAAGGAAAAGGCTTGTAGTGAGTTCTATGTGAGGCTGGACACTAAGGAAGGAAAAGGACTTGTATTGATTGGCTAAGCAGAGAGATCAAGCTGGAAAGGATGTGCAGCAGGTTAGGAAGCTCAAGGATAGAGATGGAAAGGTACTTATGAGTGAAGGGATGATAAAGGATGGAAAAAGTACTTTGAGGGGCTAGTCCACACTGTGATTTAATGTATTACCTGCGTAAATTCATTCATATTGTGCCAAAATGTCCAAGGAAAACTTTAGTTTTTGTTGACACAGTATGTATTGGAAACCTTTCCTTCTTTCCTTAGACTCAATGTAATCATTTGATGAAGCTCACATAATACAGAAATTCAATTCAGCTCAGTTTTATTTGTATAGCACCAAATCACAACAACAGTCGCCTCAAGATGCTTTATATTGTAATGTAAAGAGCCTACAATAATACAGAGAAAACCCAACAATCAGATGACCCTCTATGAGGAAGCACTTGGTGGCAGTGGGAAGGAAAAACGTATATTTAACAGGAAGAAACCTCTGGCAGAACCACGCACAGGGAGGGGCCGGTTGGTGGTGAGGGGAGGAAGACAGGACAAAAGAAATGACCACAAAGCACAGCTGTTGCACATAGGCAGGCTACAATGTGCAGCTTATACATGTGCAATTTGAACTCCTTTTTGGGAAAACAAATATTCATCTATGATCCAGCCATGTGCATTTCCAAAGTTAGAGAAGTACAAGCATGCATTCATGTGGCACAAAGGTGGCAAAATTACTTACTTATCTCTAATACTGAGACAGGACCAGTCAGGATCTAACTGTCTACTGTTTGCCTTCGATACTTGTTTTGAGTTCTTTACTTAATGTGTTTAAGTTCGAGGTTCTGTTTGTTTCTTTTATAATTCTAGGATATTACAAGTCTTAGTTGTGGTGGTGTTAAGTGTGTAGCTGTTTTATTTTATTTTATTATCTTAGAGCAGGGGTAGGCAACTCACCTGAATCAAATGTTTAGTTCATTACCAGGCCTTTGGAGAACTTCAAGACATGTTGAGGAGGTAATTTAGCCATTAAATCAGTTGTGTTGAATCAAGGATACATCTAAAACCTGCAGGACACCGGCACTCGAGGCCTGGAGTTGCTTACCCCTGTCTTAGAGTTTTTAATAGAAGTTGTTTTGGTTCTATTATTGGTTTATTAGCACATTTCTGGTGTTTCTTTTTGTGCTTCTCTCTGTTGCATTTCTGTGTTTATGCCTTGGTCCCTCTCCGCTCCCTTCTCTCTGTCATCTTGCTAAGTGTTACTGTTGGTATCTCTCAGCCTCTTTAAATCATTACCGGCTTTTACTTTGAAAATTGTTTTCTTTTGTTTTGCTTCCTGTCTGCCTTCCCTAATGATTTTTACCTGTTGCTGACTGTGTTCCCCTGTGTGCCTCTCCCCCTGTTTCTCATTATTTGTCAGTTTTCTGTCTTTCTTTCATCTTTTATCACATCATCTGTTTGCTTATTTTAGTTTCTTGTGTTTTGAACTTGGATAGCTGCCACTAAAGCTTGCTTTTGCAGTTCATGAACTCTCTCCTGCATTCTGTCTTTGGTTCCACCTTTCTGGTCACTATCAGTCAGCAGGGATAAATGTTGACATTTTGAGTCAGGTGTCTCAAAATGTCAACTTACTGACTTCTAAGCAATCAAAGTTTTGAGATACCTAACTGGAAATTTTGACCAATGCATTAAGTGGCACAAGAGTTTATAAGCTGTCTGTTAAAGGGTATAGTGAGAAAGATTCATAAGGATACCGAGGTGGGTCTTGATTTGTTACTCAAATTCGAGGTTGGTAATAAAAATTCAGTAAACAATAGCGACATGTTTCTTTTTTGATTTATGGCAGTGAGGTACTGTTTTAAGGTCAATATAAAATATTTGGCATCATTTTTCCCTTCATTATAATGGACTACTGATGCATACATATATGCAAATAGAATCTGCCCTCTAGCTCTGTGTTTTCTTTTTAAAAAAAATCTATTTACCTTTTTAAAACCCCCTCCGACTCACCTTCTCTGTGTCACGTTTACTGGTTTGTCTCCATGCCAGGCCGGTTGCTGCTCCTGGAGGATACATGTTGACGTCAGGTGCCTGTTTATTCCAAAGAGGCTGAATCTGTCTCCATCCTTTCTTCCTCCTCTCACACTCCCACGGCTTTCTGTTCTGTGCTGACTCCAGGTCCCTTTTATCTGTGTGAATGAGATTCAGCGTTTCTCCTGCAGTTAACAGATGGCACGAAAAGACACATTTTCAGGCGTGCTGCAACACTTTAACCTTGATGTAGCTTTGACACACGCTAACAGGCACCCATATCTCACCTGTGCTTCCTTTCCTAGTGATAACTCTCCTCACCTTGTTGAGTTTGCTGCACAAGTGCTCTTCTTGTTTTGCATTTTTCCTGGGAGGTTTTTGAATCAGTAGCTCTACTCTTTATCTATCTGTGCCGTCATGTCAATGCACACACAGGTTTGCGAAAAGGTAAATGTCTGATCGATAACACTGAGTGCAGCGCTGTCTGTTTCATGCGCTGCTGTCCCAATAGAGCGCAGACATCAGCTATGATCAATAACTTAATGGAGGTTACAGTAAGTGGGGAAGGGCGTGAAAAAGGAGGCATGCTGTGCATAGCTGAAGTGATAGATGAGTGTGTTTCTCTGCAATGCTTTTGGATGCTGAAGTAACTATCATCAGTCTCCCTCGTTCATTCTCTGTTTAACCTGGTCACTCTCTGTCCCAGACTCTCACGGAGCCTGCCATCTTTGCCAATGAGACCAGCTGTGACTGTCGCGCGCCTCATGAGAAGCTCACCATTGCTCAGGCCTGCAAAGGCACCCCAGGTAGACCTCCTGCTGTTTGGTATCCTCCTGTCTTGCGCACAGTCTTCTCCCAGCTTTGATGTTTTCCATTTACAGCATTCATCTGCAACATCTCCTACTGCACTACTCTATCACAATCACTTCTTTTTCTACTACTACTACCACCACTGCTACAGCTCCTATTGCTCTTGCAACTAATGGTTCTGTTCCAAGTGTTTGTACTATGAACTCTCAGAGCAGCTACTACACTCTTACCCCTGATGTCATTACCACCACTAGTTCTGTGCTAACTCCTTCCACTAAATGTGTTGTTGTCTGCTGTTGCCATTTTTACAGCTGCCACTTCCCATGTATTCTTGTACTTGCACTGCTACATTAATTATAGTATGTGAGATAATAGCATGTGTTTTTACAAGATAATTGGACTGAAATGGGCAAGTCATTACTGGTCCTTTTCATGTCACCACCACTGCTGGGGACGACTGAACTTGTAATTAATGTAGGGGTTTAACTACATATTGCAGTAACTTGCTGGCAGTTCAACTACACTCATTACTTCCACAAAAGAGTCTCTTTCTTTCTTTTGTCTTTGTCTTTCTGTCTGTTAGCATGTTATTTAAAAAGGTATGGCTATAAACTGCTCAAACAAATTATTGTAACGCTTTGAAAACACATTAGAAAAAATCATGCTGGATATCTACATTGATGTGGACTGTGTAATGGTTTAGGAATGAAAGCAGGAGGCTAGTCAATTTTGCTGAAGTTTAATTGCACCAACTCACTATGGTACTCAGTAGCTTGTACTCACACCAGCGGCCTGCTGGAGGTCATTTCTTTGGGTCAGTGCTCATCCTGTTCCTTCTGCACTAAGGAGCAGATACCGAGCCCTGTCCAGCTCTTCTAGAATAACTGTCTGTCTCCTGGTATCTCCTGCGTGCTATTGAGGCCGTGCTGGGAGACACCAAACCTTCTGACAATGGCACCCACTGATGTGCAATCCTGGAGGAGTTGGACAACCTGTGCAACCGCTGTTGGGTCCAGGTGTTGGCTCATGCTACCAGCAGTGATGCTGACCCTAGTCGAATCCAAAGCTGGTGAAAAACAGTCAGAAAACGATAAAGAGGAAAAAAATCCTTTGACTCCAAAAGCACTACCAATTTGATCATGCTCGGAAACATTTAAAAATGTTTAAATGAGCCTCTGTGGCTCCAGATGAAGCTGTGCAAAAGTACTGTAAGTATTCTCTGTTTCTGTGTTTGACTCGAGGCTATATCCACTGTTACTCTAACAGCACACCACTTCACTTATGCTTACCTGTTCCCGTGATGTTGTACTGTTTTTGTGTTTCTGTATTTTCAGTGGACCGGCCAGTCAGAGTCTACGCAGATGGCATCTTTGACCTATTCCACTCTGGACACGCTCGTGCTCTCATGCAGGCCAAGAATCTCTTTCCAAACACCTACCTCATAGTAGGAGGTAAGACAGACCACACTGGTACGGTTTCACCTGTCCAGATTTGTTATTTAATCACCACACCTCACACGAGTTTTATGTATGTCGCTGCTGTGCTCTTAAAACAGTGTGCAGTGATGAACTAACCCACAAGTACAAGGGCTTCACGGTCATGACGGAGCACGAACGTTACGAGGCGCTGAGACACTGCCGCTATGTCGATGAGGTCTTGAGAGATGCACCCTGGACTCTCACGCCTGAGTTCCTTGAGAAACACAAGGTGTGTGTGTGTGTGTGTGTGTGTGTGTGTGTGTGTGGGAGGCGGGGGTTTGAACTATATAAGCTTTAAAGTGGATGAAATATTTTGTTCACTAATCGGCTAAGTTTTGAGACACTTGTTGCTCAAAATTAGGATCTTGACAGTTCCTTGGGCTTTAAAGTTTGTGGTTTCAGGGTGAAGTTACCTGAAAGAAACTTACCTGCTCACATTCAGTCAATGGTGCAGGCAGTGTTAGCAATTAAGTTTATTTTAGTTTAGTTTTGCTATTAAATTCAATTATATTTCACTCAGATCTAGTCTAATCTAGTTTAGCTCCTTTAATGCTGCTGTGCTTTGATATACAGGTAGAGCTGGTCATTCACTTATCAGAAGATCAGTAGTTTGATCCCCAGGGAGCAAATACTGAACCCCAACTCCCCATCAGTGCATCTGTCAGAGTGTACGAATGAAATGCTTAGAGGAAGAGAACAAACGCGCTATGTGAATGTGTGTAAACGGGTGAATGAAGCTCGAGTGCTTCGAGTAGAAGTATTAGTAAATTTACTATATGTATTGCACACATCCACTTATACAAACCTGTCACCTGTGACCTAATACCTGTAGCTAGTGAGTAAAGTATTTGAGGAAGATGCTATGCTGTGAGTAAGGAAATTTTCTTTACTATTTAGGAGACCTCTAATGATGAGACGCTTGTGACTATCACCCTGAAATTCTGTGTGCAATGATGTGTTCATAACCATGCCATGTCTAACTTTAAGCATGCATATTTTGCCCTTGAAAGACCTCTGCTGCACGTTCACTTTTGTGTGTGCCAACAGTGCGTGTCCTTTGATTGTTCCTCAGATCGATTTTGTGGCTCATGATGATATTCCATACTCCTCAGCAGGAAGTGAGGACGTTTACAAACACATCAAGGAGGCAGGTCAGTGTCTGATGATTAAAAGGACATAAAATAACTGTGTTTTCCACCATAAAACATACCTGCTGTGTGTGTGTGTATATTAGGGATGTTTGTACCCACGCAACGCACAGAAGGAATCTCCACCTCTGACCTGATTACGAGAATTGTCAGAGACTATGACGTCTACGCCCGACGCAACCTTCAACGTGGCTACACGGCCAAGGAGCTTAATGTCAGCTACATCAATGTGAGAACATTTTACTGCACTGTGTTGTATTTCTAAACATCAGCTTAGCACAGATTAATGTGAAAAAAAGCTGATTTTCTTCTTTTGAGAAAGTAACAGGTCTTTGGATATTGTGCATCACAGTTGTATGGAGCTTAATTTGCGATGTGACTACAAAGCTGCGGTGTTGAAAACTGACCTCAGACATATGCTTCCTATTTACAACATTCACAATTTTTGATTTAGATTCTGGTTCTCCAAAAACGTGGCAATTATCCGCAATATTTTGTGCCTTCAGGAGAAGAAGTACCGGCTACAGAACCAAGTGGATCGGATGAAGGAGAAAGTTCGCACAGTTGAGGAAAAGAGCAAGCATTTTGTTTACCGCGTGGAGGAGAAGAGTCACGACCTCATTCAGAAATGGGAAGAAAAATCCAGAGAATTCATCGGAAACTTCCTAGAATTATTTGGACCTGATGGGACATGGGTAAGTAACTATGCAATGCAATGTCAACGCTTACTAAATATAGAAAAAACTTTAAAATACTTAATATCGTTTGGTCACTGGAATGTCTTTGACACATTTTCAAGTTTTATTCCCTGTCGCTTGTACTTTGATGTGATAACAAGTCCAGTGTGGTTGGGCCCAGTCTGTGGCGCCACTGCAGGGGAGGCGTGATGAGCCGATGCAGCTCTGGTGTGTCAGCCTCCCCGCAGCGGCGCCACAGAGCGCGCCCCGTCACATTCAGTTTTCTCAGGTGATCTGATTTCCTAACATTTCAATCTTCTTTCCCCTCTCTGTGCAGAAACAAGTGTTTCAGGAGCGCAGTGGTCGAATGCTCTCCTACGCTCTGTCTCCCAGAGAGTCGCCCAGCAATAGCCCTCCCCGCGAACTTTCCCCCCTGCGCTCACCCTCTCCCCCGTCTCCCCCCGCCCGCTGGCACAACGCGCGGCCCTCGCCCCCCACCTCCCCAAAAGGAGCGTCTGCCTCTATAAGCAGCATGAGCGAAGGGGATGAAGACGAGAAGTAGACGGTCACACCAACCCGCGCACGCGCACACTCACACGCAACACACCTCACTCACAAACACATGCACACACTCCTCCAAACACTGGCTGACAAACTGAAAAACAGTTACCCTCAAGGATGTTGCAAATATGCAATGCAGACGGTGATCATGGGGAATCTGAGCTGCAGAGCTAAGAAGCCATCACTGTCTCTGTTGTTTCTGGGCAACCAAGCAGACAGGAGGAAGAGGAAGGAAGAAGATGAGGACACAGTGTCAGATTTTGTAAGGACAGAAATCCCGTGCAGCATCTTTGACTGTCCAGCACTGATAGAGACTGTCAAACAGCTTGCTTATAATATCATCAGTTTTGTTTTTTTGTCTTATTATGTGAGATTATCATTTTCTCTTCACGATGCCTAGTTTTCTTGTAACCGGTGTGATAGCTATGCGTGAGTAGGCACAGACTTACAGAAACACCTCGTCTTACATTCAGTTCTACATATCGTCTACACTGAAACTGGTTTCATTCATTTTGTGTAATTTTGTGCTAGTTAAACAGAATTTAAACGACAGACCCCTGCGAACCCTAAGAGTAGCTGAGGCGATGCTTGGATAACGCACGGCCTTTGCTGTTTTAGACCGTGTTCACAAAAACGATCACATTGAAATTCACTAATCACAAGTTACTTCTAAGATATTCATATGAAATTCTCTGCAGGAGCCCAGAAGAAGAACGTATATTGTCAAGTTTCTGAAATGCAGATGATATGTGCAAAAAATCCTAAGCAAAACCCATCAAGATACAGAAAAAAAGACATAAACACAACTTTTAAAGATCACATTTTTGGGGGGTTTTTTGCTGATTGTAAAAGAGACACAAAATCCAATCCTTGAGGCTTCATGCAACAAATAGTTTGATGAAATAGAAAAAATAGAGCCTTTGTTTATTAACCTCTTGAATGTAAATTGCATTTTTTAGACTCCACAAAGAGGTAATGTTATCACTCTCACATCTAGCCATATAAAAGGTTGCGTCTCACCTGTTAAAGGAAGCACTTGTGGATTTTCACCATTAAAAAAAAAAGCCATGTCATTTTTTAAGTCTTTTTTCATGTTTAGCAGAGATTTCTTTGGCTCTTTGGGATCTGATGTCAGCCGTCCACAAAAACCTGACAAACTCTGACGATACTTGAAATATCTCAAAAATATTAAAGCTCAGCGGGTGAATCGTCAGGCTTGAACATAGCGCTGTTCTCGCTGCGATGATTAGAAATGTACGTTGCTCACATCTGAGCAGACCTCTCTTCCACCCCAACAACACAGTAAGTACCCTATAATGCAACGTAGAGATCTTAATGTCCTGTACGCACTACATGTTAATCTGCACTATATGAACAAAATTTGGGAATGTGTGTCTTTTTTTTATTATTTATTTTAATGTTCAAATGAATCAAAATGTGAATAAAAGAAAAAAAAATGTATAACAGAATATGAAGCAGACTTTTAGACTTTTTAATTGACGCTAAAAAGTTAAAGGTCAATAGAGACTGGGGGGGGAATGACTTTAGTTCAATAGCTGACTCAACTTTGTGCAAATAAAGAGTTGAATTAGTGGGAAATGTGCAAAGAACACTGTTAAACTCCAGTGACGGTCTGTGTGGTATTTCCTACACTGTTACACTTTAGTTTGATATTAAAAACAATATAAAACCCCAATAGCACACATATATGGAAACTGGTGTAGGTAGTGGTCATGTGAAAAAGAAGGTATGGAGTCTTTCACTTCTACTTTTTCAAATATCAGGACATAAAAATAATCCAATCCTTAGCTGTTTTAAAAAATTACGTATGTGAAACAAGATACAACCTATTAGACTGTATCATTATTTCCACCTTCCACAACAATTAGAAGGATAAGTAAGTGTGAAAGCAGAGGTTTCAGCAGTTTTTTTGGTCTGGAGGGGTTTTCTCTATATAAAGAACACCGCACAGCTCAGGCTTGCAAAGCTGCATTTGAACAAACCACAAGACCTCTGGATTTTTCCCATAATAAGCAGAGAAACCCAAACACAGCTGTCAGCACGGTGGTGGTGCGGTAATGATTAGGGCTTATTTTACAGCCACAGGACCAGGACACCTTCCAGTCACTAAGCAGACCATGAATTCATCTGTAAACCAAACTATTATAGAGTCAAATGTGAGGTCACCTTTCAGTCAGTTAAAGCTGGACTCTAACTGGGTCATGCTACAGGATAACAATCTCAAGCACAGCAGCAATTCTACAACAGAATGGCTGAAAACGAAAAGAATAAGTCAAAGTCCAGATCACAAACTGATTGAAATACTGTTGCAGGATATGAACTGTTTAATGTAATCATGCATAATTGCGCCGTATGTGGTGTGGACCAGAATGTTTCAACACTGTGGAAAAAACCCCCGATCTGGTCACAGCGTGGATAAAAACTGAACACAGCGATTACACACAACAGCAAATCTCTTTTATTGTAATGTTTGACAGTTGGTATTGGAAGTTCATCTCATGCTGAATCACATTATAAGACCATTGTAAAACTTTTTTTTTGGTGTACTCAAGTTGATGTTGCACGGCCACCTCTTATCCAGGAGACTCCAAATGCAGTATTTAAGCTGGATGTACAGTAGGCTGGAAAATACACTCATCACTCCACACTGGCTGCATGTACAGTATATACATGCATGCATACATACATGCTTATGATTTTCTAAAATACTCTTACCACATAGGTCTTTAAACAGTAAACTACTACAAGTAGAAGATCTTCATTTCAATAAATGATGGAAACTGGAAGTATAACTTTGATCAAGATGTGGTTTTTAGGTGACTGGTCAACAACAGGACCACACTGGCCTACACATCAACCACTAACCTATAATGCAGCTCATCCTCTAAGGTAGGTTATTCACAGGGTATCAGCCACACTTGCAGGTCACAAAGGAATTGGCAGTGATGAAATCTGATGGTTAATATGTCGGTTTCCACACCGAGTTTCTCTCTTTATACGTCAGGTGAAGCTAAATGACATGAGAAAAATAAGTCTCTTCGTATTTGCGAAAATCTCCCAACATTTGCTTTAAATAAATCCAGGTTTGAGCCATGACTCATTTAAGTTTTGGTCTTTTTCAGCAGCCTCAAAAAAAATAAAATAAAATAAAATAAATTGCATCACTATTAGTAAATCCTGACCTGGGATCCAATCCGATTTAATTAGCTCCTTCATAGAGGTCTGGAGTGATTGCATGAAAACTACACGAGGTTAAAAAAATAGACTTAGGATTAGTGAAGTGCACAAAAACAGGTTCCTGAATATGATCCATGTGCCAAAAAAAGAGAAAAAAAAAAGTGGATGGATTGATGCACAACTTTCAGTGCCCTGGAGACTCTGCTTCTTTGACCACATTTTCCTCTGCCGACTTATCCAAACCCTCAACTGTGTGTGCCACATGACTTCCTATTGTATAAATAAGGAAAGAAAATCAAGTTAAAAACTTACAAATCACTAAAAGATGAATTAAAAGCAATCACGTGTCAGTGCCAAAAGACAAAAAAAGCCAAGGGAAATTGTGCACAATTGTACAAATAAACTAAAAGCCTGTCAAGTATCTTCTCTTACATTTAGCTTCTAATTCAGTTATTTTCACTAAAGTTAAAAAAAGCAAAAGCACATAAAAAAAGCAAAACTTTGTTCAAACTCAGAAGACTATGAGGATTAGTAGTACCACAAAATAGATACACGCTGACCCGATGAAGCATTGTTAGGAATAAAAAAGGGCAAAGATGCGAGCAAGTTGCTTATCCACCTTGGCGTGCTGGCAGGACGAAATAGGAAGTGTCGAAATAAAAGCTGTAATCCCACTTTTTTTTTTTTTTTTTTTTTTTAAATAGTCCAAGTGTGATCCCAGCAGATCCATCGCATTTAGCAAGGGTTTTTTTTTCTAAGCAATACATGGTGCTGGTGTGGCTGAAAAATGACACGACTGCAGTACTCCTACTGCAACCCTGCGTTTTCCTCCATCCGGTGTTTTGCTGAGAGGACAAACTGACTAAAAAAAAACCCAAAAAACTTAATTACGATTTATTGATGAGCAATTCAGATTATGCGAGTGCATCGTGGCTACTCAAGCAAAGTCTCTTATGATCATTGGAAAAGATAAAAAAGTAATAATGATGATGCTACTATCATTTGAATCACAGTGAATACACAACTCATTTCCTAAGCATCCGAGAGATGCTCCATTTGTCTGTTAGTAGTTGTTAAATCAGGACAAAGAGCAAATATATTTGATGAGGGTTAGTACCATTTGTTAATGGTCTGCAGGTGGCTGGTTATCCTCTAAGCGTAAAGCTAAACAAAGTTGAGTAAAAAAACACTCAACTTTTCACTTCTAACATCGTCCCTTTTAAATGCTCTTCAAGTTCCAGCCTTCAAAGGCGGGCTTTTTAAAAACAATAAATATGCCATACGTTACCAGAAGTAAGGCTCGCTGTCTTTTTCATTAAATAAAAACATGACTTTTAGAAGCTTTAAGAATAAAGTGTATGCTTCATCCATTGGTTCCTATTTCCCAAGCTAAAAACGCAGGGCAGCCAAAACAAGTCTCTATGCCAAGGGCACACCGACCTAATTGTGCGTTCAGTGAAGAGTGTATCCGAAAGGAAGGAAGTAAAACCTCCTCCTATTCTAACTTGCACTCAAACTAACCCCTTTCTCCTGACTCTGCCTGTGTGTGGCGAGAAAGAAACAGAACACGAGCGTTTACTGAGAAAGACACTCAATCAGCAGGGGGAGGGGAGCTTATTCAGCTGCACAGAGCAGTAGCCTAGTCAGCAGCAGGCCAATGTGAGTGAGACAGAGGAAGAGATGGCAGTACTGCTAGAAAGTAAACTTGAAGAAATGAAGTTCATCTTTGTAAAGGTTCACGAGAGTAACCAGATATTTTTAAAGGGGTCGGACACTGGGGGTCTTTTAAACCTCGTCTTACAGCCAGTGGTGAAGCCACGACAGTGAAAGCTACGCTGATGAAGGCCATTGCCATTGGGTACCGATATGAGTGGAGGACATCCATCCTTTCAGAACCTTTAGCGACTGGAATGTGAAAGCAGGTCTAATCCTAACCCAGGCGTTTTACCCAAGGGCAACATTTCATCGTGCATGCTCTATGCAGAGTGCCGGCATTTTGGCTCCCTGGGGAAGGCTTTGCTAGCGAGCTGGGCAGAGTTATCTGTTGGCTTTGTATTTGGACTTGCTGGCATCACGTGGCTCTTTGCTGGGGTTGCTCCAATCGTCCGCCTCGGGGCTCGTCTTATAATGCCTCCACGCCGACTTGTTGAAGACAGGCAGACGCTCAAAGGACTCACTGGACAGAGCCTTTAAATAAAGAAACAAGACATCCAAGTCAAGGAAAAGCAACTTTGACTTATCTTTATTAGAGGAGTTATTATCATTGTTTTTATTACTTGCCAAGAGTTGGATGGGTCTAAATAACCGTGAAGCTGGAGATGATTAGCTTAGCTCAGCATGAAGACTTTGAACACTGTTTCTGGTGGCTTCCAGCTTCTATACAGTTTTGTAGGTAATAAAGTGATGAGTCTAAGAAATCTTAATATTTGAAAAGTGATATGCAAGGTGTTTACACTGCTTAAAGTTTTATGCTTAACTAAGCTACTCATCTTCTGGCTTAATCATCACACTTTTTATTTGGGGGGGGTGCCTAGGTTACAGATACACATATTTTGCAGAACATCAGCCTACATACATACATACAGCATGTAGTTAAAATCGGTCAAGTCAGCCTCAATCTGTCCACAGTTAACACACCGCTCGCAATTAACACCACATTTACTCCATCACAGTCAAATACCAGCTTGCAGTACCAGCATAGGCCAGCGAGTATACTGAAACGTGAACTACTAGGTTGATTTTTTCATTAGCACCTTGATGTTCATAGTAGGGGTGCAACAATGCTCGTATCGATATTGAACCGTTCGATACAGTGCTTTCGGTTCGGTACGCATATGTATCGACCAATACAACATTTTTTATTTATTTTATCAACTTTTCTTCTGACGATGCTGTCTGTGTTGAGCGCTCAGTGAATCTGCGTTCGACTACTCCACCTAGGCTGCACTTTCGAGTGCAAATCCACTGAGCGCAGCGCAAGCTAGCAAGACAGAAGCTAAGCTCATTGCAACATGGCAAATTGAGCCTCCCCCACCCTCATTCAGATCTGGCCTTTGGAACTATTTTGATCTTCATGTGAAGCATGACCCTGATGGTAAGCTCGTCATGGACAAAAGTAAAACAGTATGTCGGATGTGCCACGCAACGCTCAATTGGTGGGAACTAGTGCATTAGCGCAGTTAGCTTGTTAACGTGTTGAGGCCGTCCAACACTCATTAACGGCGATTTGCTGCGTTATGGCGTTAACGTCATTTTAACGAAATTAACGCTGACAGCACTAGTGGGAACACAACGAATATCACTGCACATTTACACCGACATCATCCTAGTGCAAAGACAAGTGGAAGCAGACAAAAACAACAAGCATTTATTTTGGAAAGAACCATTTCTCTGT